ACCCGGAGCGCGGGAAGCAGGCCGGTCCCCTGGATGCGGAGATGCGACAGCGGAGCCCAGGGGCGCGCCGGCTTCGAGTCCTCCCGAGGGCGGCGGGGCGGGCACCAGGGAGAGCCGGGCGGGCCGGTAACTGGCCAGCGGCCGGAAGGACCTGGCTCTTCCTCCTAGCGGAGCCGGGGCCCCTAGGGGGCACTGCACCTAGTGGCCGTGACGTTGGAGGGCGGGGGCTTGCAGACGCGGGGCTGCTAGCTTGAGTCGCCTGTCTAGGGAAGGCTTTGTGGCACTCTCAGTCCTGGAAATTTGGTTGCAAAACAGGTCAGAAGAGGGTGGGCCATCAGGGTAGGGCTCGCACCCTCCCCTGACACCGCACGCCCTTCCCCTGCGCCTGCGAGCTCACGCCCCGCCCTCAGGTGGCAGTGTGCATCTCGGACAGGCGAGTGGCTGTAAATCCCGTTTAGAGGAGAGGGTTTGGGGTCGTGGTGTTGGGAGTGGCCTATCAGTGCAGTGCACGACCCTGGAACTCCATGCTGACTTGGTAACGTTAGGCAGGTTGTTTAACCAACATAGCCCCCGTGCTCCACCAGGAGACAGGAAATAGGGACCCTCGTCACCATAAAAGGATTGTGCGTTACTCTCTTTATAATCTTAAGAGAAGGGTGAGATTTTAACCTTATAATTCCAAGTAAAGTGACAGTAAGATTATAATTTTAGAATGTTATAATCCCCCAGTGTGAATGAAATTGTAACTTTGTAATGATAATTCCTAAGTAAGCTGGGGATGAAACCAGTCCAAATGAGAGACACTGGTTGTCATCAGCTAAATACTCCCAGTTGCTGGAAGGACACCTCTCCAATGCTGGCAATTCAGGAAGTTCAGTCGAGTCCCTATTTCCAGACCTGGAAACCGTCCAGAAATGGGAGTCAGTTGGCAGACCGGGGAGCTTGCCTGACCAGGGGTCAGGCTGCGAACCTTACGCTGGTGTCTTTAGTTTCCAGTGTAGGATGTCCTGTCACATCTGACACCGCGTGGTTCTGTAGAGCGCAGACAGAGCCCACACTCACAATCCTGTGAGGTAGGTATCACCACCATCTTGTAAATAAGGAAACGTTCACAGAAATTTTATTCTGTACATGCAAGTGTATAACTGAAAAATTGAGACTTGAGAGACCAGCAGATGGCAAAATGCCTACATCACTGGACTCCCACGTAGTCGACTACGGATTGAGTCCCAGAACCCACGGCTTCAGACTCACGTGGGGCATGTGTGCATGCATGCCCAAGATCCTGAGAGGAGAATGAAGGAGAAGGGATTGAGACATCGCCAACCCCGGGAGAGGGGGGTGATTTCTCACTTTCTATCTCTGTCTCTGGCCAGCAGACATGCCCTATAGCAAAAATCTCTCTTAAAAAAAAAGGGAAAAACCTGAGACTTGATGGATCAGCTCTGTGGCATAGTAGTTAGGAGAGACAGATCTTACATGGCCAACCTCATAGTTCAAATCCTGCCCCTGTTGGGATGGGAGACAGGGACCCTAAGAATATAGGTAGGGTTAAGCCCAAAATGGAACCACAAAATGACTAGGTTTTAAGATGGAGACAAAACAGCTTAGATGCTTGCTCAGAAGAAACAGCTTGCAACATTAACCCACCCAATATTAACCTAGGCATCATGACCTAAAGCAAAGGCTTTTTTTTTTTTTTGGAGCGATTTTTGCTATAGGGCGCATGCGCTCGCCAGACAGACAGAGAGAGACATAGAGACAGAAAGCGAGAAATCACCCCCCAGGGGGGATGGTCATGCCGCAATCCCTTCTCCTCCATTCTCCTCTCGGGATCTTGGGCACGCATTCACGCACACGTGCCCAGCGTGAGTTTTAAGCCACCGGGTCCGGGACACGAACCGCGGTCGACTATGTGGGAGTCCAGCGGCATAGCCATTATGCCAACTGCTGGTTCCCAAGCAAAGGCTTCCTGACCTTCATAGCCACTCCAAAATTTACTGAAGTATGACAGGATGCATCCAGCATGTGCCCCTCACCATGGTGGGGGTGGGAGAATTCACGTGCAAGCTC